CTACTTCTACTGTGATACACAGCTTACGAACTTCTCAAATCCTCAGTGCAACTCCCTTCTACCGAGGTCAGTAAAGGCGACCTGCCGCCTGCTGCGACATGTCCCTTTCACCCCAGCAAAGCATAATACGGTTCCACGTGACGTAGGAAAGTTAAATGCTATGTTGACTTTGCTGGAGAACCTTATTCGGATTTCGTTTACGCATTATTTTTCACATCTAGCAACTATCGGTCTATGGTGCCTTAGAGAAGAGCTTTTAAGCAGAAAAGATCGGATTTCCATCCTGATTGACCCCGTTGTTTCTATTTACCTTTTTTGCTTTATCAGAGATGAGAGGTCTACAGTGCGAATCGAATCTGTTCGCACCGAGCGATCACACTTGACATTTTCGACAGACAAACCTGATCTCGAAGGACACAAAAGAAAGCGACCACGTTAAGAACATTAAGGGCAGTGATTTCCATTCAGCAGATTACACCAGGACAGTCACTTGAGAAATAGAGTTGTTTTTGCTGTGATGGGATTTAGGGTGGTTTTTTGGAGGCGATTATAGGTCCAGGTAATCTTAGATCCTCACCTCCCTCCCCCCCCCTTCATTCGATGCACTATTGGACAGAAGAGAACGCTCGTGGAGGATTATGGGAATAGGGAAGTTATACTCGTGAGATGAGAAGGAGGGAGGGGGTTCGTATTGGCGGAAACTTCCTTTAGGTGGCTCCTCTGGAGCACACTTCTGCCATATCGGCTGACCTGAGAGCGACTTACTTTTCTGAAATCTCAGAAGGACAGACCAGATGTTAGAACGACGAGAAGCGCTAACGCACACGCCGACCACGCCCATTTTAGGGCGGTAATTGCGAAGAAGGAACGACAACTAGAGCGCTGCAAGCCCCTGGCAGCCTTGCCTGCAGCCTCGAGCCGTCAGCTATGTAGCAGCCGTCAGCTATGTAGCACATAGTTTTTGCGGGCCAAGCCAAATTTTCCACGGGGTTTGTTCCATTCAGATGATGTGAAACTTGCATTTAATAAGTACCGCATTAAAGGTGCCATGTGCGATCACTCTTCATTTCTTCTGCAAAACATTAATCGCTCTAATTTGATTCCTAGTTCGAGGTCGATAAGTATGAAACCACAACTGAACATTCTTTCTAATAACAGGGACAGTTTTGGTCAGGATCAACCCTCACGTTAAGCCTATTCCAAAAATTTCTAGCCTACCCCAATACCAGGGATTTCGATGCGACCCCTGCCACCAAAACGTGAACGAGGTCAACCATGAATACCCCCTGTGTCACCCCCCCCCCCCCTGTGTTAAAAAAACCGCCAAAAACGTTCCCCCTTCAGCAACCAGGATCCCTTCGACTTTCCAAAGGGCGATCTTCTTTCGACTTCTTCACCTTTTCAACCCCAATTACAACACCTCTCTTGAATCGCAAGTAGGACCCCTGTTTGGAGCGACTTGATGACGCATAGCACTAGTATGATCCTCTTAAAAGAACAGTACCTTCATCTAGACTGGTGTTAGCTTTCCTGAATGGACCTAAGGTTGTTGCCCTCCATACTGAACCATGACGTTGTTCGCAATCTTCCCCTCCTATACAGAGGCGACAGAGGCGGGGAAAAGCAACCACGATTGAAGTGATGTTTCACAGACTTACTTGTTATAAAGTAGAATATCCGGTATCCAGATTTGATCCGAAGGTATGTGCAGCTTTTTTATTCCACCCCATCGAGTCGGTTCCCACGACAACTTATAGTCGAACCATTGCATTTCCAACCATAAATTGGTTGTCAGAACTTGGATTCACTTCATCCTAAACAGTTTAGTAAGTTTACTACAGTATTTTGCGAACATGTTTCAACAGCACAGTTTCGCATTTCTGTAACACTTTTTTTTCAAACTTCAATTGTCCATTCGCTCTTGAAGTCAAATCTCGCTTTTAACTGTGATTGTCGATGACAGTTCACACCTGGTCCAACTGTTCCCAGCGCCACTTTCACTGCTAGTTTCCGTTTTCAGGGCGGAGTTAACCCAGTAAGCCAGGAACTGGTATATTTGCAAGCGGCGCCAGTTTCTAGTACACCAGCAAAAGGCGCACGAAAAGTGCACGGAAACGTGGGTCGTATACCGCTCCGGGCCAGCAAGCTTCCCATCCCTTCAGGATCGGTTAATTGGTACCAGACTTGTCTGGGAGATAAAAAAACACTGACTTGAACATCGGCTGGCCCCCGCAAGTCATTGTATAGGCCACATCGCATTCAAATGCCACTACGGTTGTAAAAGAAACAGGAATGCGTGGCGCATCCTGATAAAGGGATTTATTGAGCCGAATGCTTACCTATACTTGACCTCTCAAAGGGTTTCTTCGGTGAGTGTCCGGGTAGTAAAAGTGAAATTTATCAAGCTCATTCATTACCTCAGCTAATTTTTGTTCCATTCCACGGTTTACTTTCAATTTTCTAGAATAAAGGCTTATATTTTGGGAATATTGGGGTTGAAACTTTGAGGAGGGGGGGGGGTGTTGTTTCCGGCTTCCGCAATTTTGTAATGCACGTCACCTTACAATACAGTCAAGGTCAACCGTGACGAGTGGCTGACTTCAAATATCTACAACCTCTCCCTCTCCACCCTCCCCCCCCGTACCTCTCACTTCTACGGCCATGATGATCAAGAAGTACGGGGAGAGGGGCGATCGTGCGAGGGCATATTAACTAGTGGTTGAAACTGTTAAATTTATGTAGGCTGTTGGCTTTCTCCGAATTTTCATAAGTTTATAGGTAAAAAATGTCCTTGTTTCAAAATCTTAGTTAATGCTTACATTAATGATTATTTAATTTCTTTATTTTTATTTTTTTCAAATTTTTATTCAGATTGAATTTGAAAAAAAAAAGTATTACTTTGGCTGAGCCAACCTTCTCCAAAATCGCAAAAGCAGAGGAAGACCATTTGTCGGGACATACCAAATGGTTCGGTTGCCCTCCACCCATGATTGAAAAAAGATTTTTTGTATTTTTTAAAGACCCCTTACCCAGACAACCGTGCTATTCCTACTACACTGCGATAACTTGGTTACTGAGGACTTAAAGCCTCTGTACCCAGCTCAAAGTGCCCAGTGAAAGTGAATTTCTTCATGCAAAGCCAGTAATTCCATTAACTTTCGCATCAGCTAGCTCAGTGAAATCATTCGAAGTAGTACGGAGAAAACGCGCACGAGAACGGGGTTAACGGATGACGGGTTTTTGACTGTTGCGCGCTGCTGACCCAGTTGTTCGTTTCAGTCACTTGTGCACTTGTTCGCGCGATATAAAAGATGAGAAAAGAAGAAAGTGTGTGCATGGCCTATTTAAGGGCGGCAGAGACGTTGCGAGAAATGTTCTGCGAACGTTTTCGTGTCTCATTAGGGACAAACAGCTCGTAAAGCACGCGCCGAAACTATCAGTCAACCTCAGTCATCATTCTTTGGCTGATTATCATTTTCAGTCCCTTTTCTATTATTTACCATTTCAGAGATACTTTTCCCAGGTTAGATGAACCCCTCTGGGCTTTAGCTCTATAAATATTGTCAGCCTTCTTTGCTTTATCGATGTTGCCAAATTTTCATATTTCTAACATATTTGGCTCATCGAAGGTATTTAGAAGACTCATTAAACTATTTTTGGGAAGTGGATAAGATTCAAAAAACCAGAATAAAAAGTAATGGTTAAATTTTAAAATCTAGATGAGAAAGGGTGGAGAAATGATTTTTACTTAATTCGCGTGTAATGGCAGAACTTGTTTTTTTTCTTGACCGCTGTAAGCTTGTGCGCTCCAACTTTCGCCCGTGAGTGTGTTACCTGTGACTATGAAAACCCCGCATTTATCAAAGCATTCCGCAATTGACCTCAGCCCTCGAAGGAAGGATTGGGTTGCTCAAAAATTGGTTAAATTTGCCAAGGGCACGAAATTTGAAAGATATAGAAGGGGAAGCCTGAAAGCATAAAACAGTAGCTTGGCTTTAGTCCGCGTTGACGTTTTGAGTTTTGGATGGTGACATGAGTGCGTTCACGGAAGCCTTTAAAGACTAAGTGTTTAAATGCATAACCCAATCTGTACCGTGTACGATTTCTTGGGGTGGGTAGGATAGACCTAAACTAAAATCACAGATGTGGCACTCTGCCCAACACGAGCGCTAGGGTCTGTAGAATTAGTTTTGAAACCGCTTCAATCTTCCCCATAAGCAGCAGGCTGCCATCTGGTGCCCTCCTCTGCTGCACTTTCTCGCCTCGTACTCTCCTTTCCATGCTCAATCTCTCATTGCCTTAGCACAGCTACGTAACAAAGGTGACGAGCCCTTAACTTAAGCGTTTCCGACAAAATTTTCCCTTATTCTTCACTGCGGCCACTTCGCCTTACTTCCGCTTTGTTGTGAGGCACACATCATGCGTACCGGGAGGGCGTCTTTAAGTTCTTTTGTGTGGTCAAGCTAGACTAGAACTATCTTTGATCACTGACGGAATGGGCGTAGTGAATCGGTTATGCCGAATAGCAATATATAGACACTTCTGGCCCTGATTCCGTCCTGCTTTTTTGGATAGCGGAGAGCTCTACAATTACTTCGGATCGCGACAGTTCAGTCAGGGTCCTCAACAGGGTTACCTTAATGTTGTATCTGAGAGTTAAAGATTTCCTGCCTGATTTCTTTATGTCTGAAAAGATCCGCAGTTCAGTTCAGTAGATGTGGTGCTGTTCATAATCTGTTGAACATTTCAAAATGAAGAGCTGGAGCACCTATGAAGCAGTTGCTGCTGGATCCATTACATTATCCGTCGTCTCTGTACTTATCCTTGCCGTTATTACACCCTCACTGCTACTAAAATCGTCCAATGAAGTCCACAATATTGATTTCAAGGCAAAGAAGTACAAGGTATTTTTCCATTCAATAATTCTTTACTTAACCAATTTCTAATTCTGCTTTGGCCTGAGAGTAGAGTTGCCTTTAGGAGGATACAACAAGGATCTGGAGGGAGCTTCAGCTCCTGCTAGACGTCGAAAAGCAAGGAAGTGGGCCAATATTCTTTTCGAGGACAAAAAGAGCCCCATGGTCAGCAGGACGGCTTGACGGATGCATAGGTGCGTAATATCAGGTCATTACCGAATCCTCAGCCCTAACCAAGTACCAGTTACAAAGGGCCAAGGTCACAGCTCATGGTTTGCAAGTGAATATTCAGGTTGCAACGCTTTGACGTGCCCGCAGGGTTTGCCTGGCGCACCTGGAGAATCTGGCGAAGACGGTCTGCCCTGGCTTACCAGGTAACCCCGGTCCATCCGGAAACGATGGTTACGATGTCGAATTGGCACCAGAAGACGATCTGCCCTGCACCATTTGTCCCAGTGGCCCACCAGGACCGAGGTACCGCTTTTACGGATAGGCTGGGCTGGATATGTTGTTGGCTAATGATATGCTTTCAGAGGCCCACAGGGAGAGAGAGGAATGCCAGGATTTCCCAGGACTTCGTGGTGAGGGTGGTGGTCCAGGAAATCCAGGAGTAGATGGTCCCATGGGTTTGGAAGGATACAAAGGCCCTCCTGGAATGGATGGGCCGATGGGTAACGTAGGGGAGCCTGGAGATATGGTAATAGCTGGCGTCGGAATTAAAGGTCCTACTGGACCTCCTGGACCAGTAGGTATGAAAGGGAAAACCGGGGCCAGCTGGGAAGGCAGCAAAAGAGATGGGATCGCCAGGAACTCCTGGAGAATCCGGTCCCACCGGTCCTGCAGGGAACGTTGGAAAACCTGGAGAAGAAGGACCATTTGGACCACCAGGAGATCCAGGTCAGTGCGCTTCTCTCACTGAGCCAAAGCGAACTGCAATCAGTAAATTAATATTAATTCACTTCTAGGCATGCCTGCTTCTTACTGCCCTTCGGACTGCGGTGTATCTCACATTGTCGCACCCATTAGTCAGGCAAAGAAGGAAGACAACTATGTGGAGAATTACAGACGCCTACGAAAGTTCAATTGAATGCATTTCGGATGCCATAAACGTACAGCACGGTTCTATAACTTGTTTGACAGTTTTGTTTCCCCTGAAACACAGAATTCAGAAACAGAAAAGCTTTTGTCCGAAAGCAGGAATGATTCTGCTGTATGAGGTATTAAACGGAAAGAGCTAAAGGCAACGAACAGGACTTCTAGGGGCGGAGCCGGTTTGGAGACGTCATTGGTGGAAAAGCGTTGGAAGGCGGTCCAACATAGCCAAAAGCGCTCAAGGAGGTGTGATCGGACCGCCTCCCAACGTCCTTCCACCAATAACGTCTCCTATCTGCCTCCGCCTTCAGCCATCGAGGCTACGCCTTTAACAGTTAGTGATCAGCTCTCAATTCAATCGTAT